CAGAAGAAACTACGAAAAAGCTTATTCTTGTACAGTACTTCATACGTCATAGCATAGGCCTATGTCACATTAGTTCATGCAGGCACCATTAATATCTATGACCTTATTATATATAGTTCACGACATTACACCTTAAAAACGATGACATTCACATCTCTGTCAGGTCTTTTTAAAATTAAAAAAATAACAAAATAAAAGAACACTTTATATGCTGATATTGTTTTTGTCAACCATAACTAATCTAGAAATACAATTTCATAATATTTGGATTTTCTGTAATCAAACTTACAGACGTGTGGTCTTACAATCATATGTGTATCTAGAAGTCTTGAACTGGGGATGCTGATGAGGGCGTGAAGGTGATGTGGGGGGCTCAGTGATCAGTTGAGGGGCGCTAATTCACAAAATAAGGTGATTTTTAACTACTTGAACGTGATTTTTGGGTGAGGGGCGACTGGGGTGTGCGTGTAATTTTTGGAGGAGCCTGAGCCCCCTGGCGCACCCCCTAGATACGTCACAGCTTACAATAATCAAAATGAAAAAGTAAATATTCTAAACTGACTTAATCTGGATTCAACATAGGAGAAAAACAATAAACACACTTAGGCCTATCCACATTTAGAGAAAAAAAAACTTACCTAAACAAGTGGAATGAGTTTATTTTCAATTAGGAATGCTTATCTTTTGATCTTTCCCATTGAATTCATTAAAAAACTATCAAATACAAAAAAAAAAGAGATAGAAACAGAATCGCCTTTAAAATTAATTGTAATTTGTCATCTGTGTTTGACGTTATATGCAAAAAATTCAAGTGAAATACAGTTATAACAAAAGTATTATTCTAATGTATTATTATTAGCTCTTCAATTTTAATAAGCTCTATACAATGTACATATAAAGAGCAATAATTCTGATTATATATACAATATTGATATTCTAATTTTAAATTCAACAGTACCTAACTCCTACGCGGATATTGATAGATAGTGTTCAGTACCCCACATAGCATTTCAGGAAATGGTTTGTAATAATGTCGACCATGATGTGTTATTAAAGCATCCTGAATATTGACGAGAATGTCTCGTAACATGGGATCGATAACGCAATTGCCAACTGTGTTTAGGCTGTAATTTACCTTGATGAAAGTGTGGTTATTGGCGATGTTGCTGGTGAATGAAAATTGAAAATGATTATACTGATTATCTCGATGAGGATGATGAATTTGACCATGATGGTGGTGGTGACTGTGTTGATGATGATGATGGCGATAGTAATAATAATAATAATAAAAAAAAAAAAAAAATAATAATAATAATAATGATAATGATGATAAAAATAATAATAACAATAATAACAATAATATAATAACAATAATAATAATAATAATGACGTTAATGATAATGAAAATAATAATACTGTAATAATATACTAATAATAATAATAATAATAGAAATTATAAGAAATAATAATAATAATAATAATAATAATAATAATTATTATTATTATTATTATTATTAATATTATTATTATAAAATTCCTCTGCAGACTTCACCTAGATTATACCCTCTTTATTCAGTTAGCGTAGACTTAAGTCAAAATAAACGATTCGATTCATCTTCTATTTAAGTTTAAATAACGGGTTAACTGAAATAAAAGGTATATAAAGTAAATCCGTGTCTCCAATGGGACTGGCTTACAATGTATAGAAATATAAGGGCAATGGACGCCACGTACATAACTACAATTTAGTAATGATATATTTATGTCTACACAAAGACTGTACCGCTGTGAACTCCAATTAAAATAATATATAAATATACACAGTATCCTTAACTGAATCCCTGTACAGACAGCGATAGTGTGGTCAAAGCTTTAGGTTCAACGTTTTCTTTCATACATATCAAGGACTGTAGCCTAATTACAAAGTACTTGGACACGTAACAAGAAAACCTCATGCTAGGCTGACTTTCCTTCTGAGTATTTTCTAAATTGGCGCTACGTGTACCAATTATGTATACTTCTTAGAAATGTATACCTTTCATGTACTCAATCTAGTTATCATGTGTTTATGGGTATGGATATATATATATAAACACATAGGTGTGCGTTGGTGTGTGTGTGTGGGTGTGTGTATGTGTGTGAGTGCACATGTCTATCTACTAAAGCTTTGCTTTACGGGTCTCCAACAGTGGCCAGCGGGGGAGGGGCAAGCATTTGGACTAAAAAATATATAAAAATAGGCCCACGCCAAGCCAACACATGTAACAATCAGAGAGTGTCATTTCTTTCCATCCAGAGGTTCCTATTCTTTAAAAAATCTCATTTGGGAGGGAAACACCCTCTCAAACCCTTCCCCTAGCTCGTGCCTAGAGCCCAAGTTCCCCCTGTCGGATAGCTCACCCCCCTCCCCCAGAAAATATATCCTAGAGCCGCTACTGGTCTCCAACCTTCTTATTTCAACAATCATAATAATTTTTTATAGTTAATAAAATACTTAGAAGAGAGAAAAAGGTTTATTTGAGTTTTAATATTTATTTGTATATATTGTATTTTGTCGATATACGTGGTAATGATAATTGTGATAATACATAATGATCATTATGATAATAACCATTAAGACAATTATTGTTGTAATTATGACAATAATTATCAATAAACTATTATCAAGAAAACATTGAAGGGGATACTCTTCATATCTCAATGTGGTTGCGTGTCCACACGTTCTATAGAGGACTATTAGTGCAACTAAGAATACGAGAGGCAAGGACTAAAATTTGTTGTGAAAGCAAATATAAAAATATTTTATCTCCCTTTATTGATTTGTTTTTCTTAATACATCACAAAAATATTAAAATTTAAACCATTGGCCTATATTTTCAAATCTGAAAATTATTATCACTGTCGTCATGACGATCGTCATCACATCGTCATCATGATTATCATCATCCTGATCATTATCGTCATTATCACCATTATCGTCACCATAATCATAATCTTCTTTACCATCATTATCATCATCATTATTACCATTAACTATTAGTGTTGTTTTTATTATTATTATTATTGTTATTATTATTATTAGTATTATTATTATTATTATTATTATTATTATTATTATTATTATTATTATTATTATTATTATTATTATTATATTATTACTATTATTTACTATTATTATTATTACTATTATTATTATTATTATTATTACTATTATTATTATTATTATTACTATTATTATTATTATTATTAGTAGTAGTAGTAGTAGTATTAGTAGTTGTTGTTGTTGTTGTTTTTGTTATGATGTCCATATATGGACACATACGGCGAGCCCCCAGGCGAGCCATATGCTTTAATATAACCGCGACAAGCAAGTTATGAATATGAATTTGAAGACTTACATATACGTCTTTCGTATTTGTTGAATATCAGTTATATGCATATAATGGTTGTGATATATGAGCATATATGTACAGTATGGCGCGCCATCTATCCATATTAGCACAAGCCGTAAGTATCAAGATAAAATGTGTACAAATGATCGCTAATAGCTCGCCATTTGTCAGATGCATGACGTGTAATGTGAAAATACAATCAAACCACAGCATATAAAAATAAACCGAAGGAAAAATCATTTCAAAAATGTACATAATATTCTGGATATCTACATTATGACTAAAAGCCGATTACGCATAACATGACGTCATAATGTAAGGAATAGATAATCGAAGTTCGATCGCCTTCAGCGCTGAACGGGGCTTCTGTTTTAAAGCTGTTTGCTATCAAAATTACTTCTATTGCAATCTATGTTGGTTTATTCAAATTAAGACAGTCGTCTGTTTATAACCATATCACGAAATTGCATGCCTAGTAGGGGTAGATATAGGTAGATCTCATGATCTCGACGGAAAGAATACGGCACGCCACCAGTGAATTTACACCATCAATATTCGGACGCCTATGCCGCGGCCGGCGCCGCACTATATACGATGGTTCCAACTTTCTCTCCAATTCGGTCAATAAAATTCACAAAAATCATAATAAACAATAGTGATGGGTTTTATTATATATAATTATTGACTTAACTTATGTCCATAAATATTTCTCAATATATCTTGCGCTTGTATATTAAAATTGCTAATGAATACAGTATACATTTTATGTGTGCGACGTAAAAGCGTACTGTTTGTAGTCTCAATGTTTTTTGTGATCAAAGTCAAAATCAAAAAAAATATTTACTTAATTTAAAATAACGGAATATAGGACAATGTTGTAAAACGTCATTATAAAAAGCATGGTAACATTAATTTCAAAAATAGTTTCTTATAGCCCAACTGCCATTTTCCCGTCATATAATCATTATTTTGTGTTGTTGGTAATGTCACTCTCAGTAATTATTTGAATTAATAAATATAATTATTGTTACAAGTGTATATTTAGTATTATTATTATAATTATAATTATTATTATTATTATTATTATTATTATCATCATTATTATTATTATTATTATTATTATTATTATCAGTGTATATTTATTATTATTATTAATATTATTATTATTATCATTATCATTAATATTAATATTATAAATTGTATTATTATTATTATCATTATCATCATCACCATCATCATCATCATAATCATCATAATTACTATATCACCATCATCATTAATATCACCATCCTCATCATCATCACCATCACACAAACAATTATATACAACACTGTCTTTGTGTCTGGGTCTACTAGGCCTACTTGTGACGATTTAAACCATGGTTAAACTATCAGAGCCCATATGGCATTATATATAATACAGTATACATTACCCGTGTATCTGTCTCTTATACACATCTAGATGTGTATAAGAGACAGGCATAGTAGCGTTTGGTGTTTGGTCATGGTTGAGTAATGGTTGAGCAATGCCCTTTTTATGCAATAATTTAGGGTTTTATATGATATTTTCACTGATTATATCCTAATATCAACCTATTGTGCTTTTCAGCGCTACTATATGCCACTATCTTCGGAACAGTTACCACTATATTTCAACAGTTTACGTCGGCAACAGTTAGATATCATGAAAATCTGAAAAAATGTAAGAGAGTTCATGAAGCTACACCAGGTGGACAGAGCTCTCAGTGAACGAGTTATGGACTATACCGTATCTACCTGGTCAATTACAAAGGGAACCGACTCCAGAAAGGTATGGTAGCCCATTTATTAGCTAATACTAGAATTATATATTACTATGTCCGTTTGAACATCAGAACAGGGCTTTTCCCTATTGCTCTAATGAGAAATGAAGTTGAAAGTGCAACAAATATAAAAGTCGTTAAAAGGTATAAAGTTAAAAAAAAAAAAAAAAAAAAAAAACGGAAAACCAATATAATTTTAATGAAGTGGGGGAAAAAACAAAAAAATAAAACAAACAACGAAAACCAAATTCACTGCGACGTTATTAGTGAGACTCGAACTATGGCTGCAATGGGAATAGCGAGGTACATCGTGACCTATAACCATTGCGCGCTATGGGCCGACCTTGAATAGGAAAGTTCACTTTCAGTTCATAGCGATTCAATGACGGAAAGCAAAAATTGTTCATCCATATGCACCTAAACCGCCCGGTTTTCAGTGGCCATCCTGCCTTCCGGTTGGCCAGTGAAGGCTGTCTGCGCGCGCTAGCCATCAATTTCACCATGAACCATAGTGCTCCCGGTGACCTCATCCACACCGGCGAGAGTATTGATATCCTGTACTTTGTTGTCTCTGGCACACTGGAGGTTATTCAAGATGAGGACATTGTTGCCATTTTATGTAAGTTACCTAAGCTTTCACTTTGCTATTATCGTCATATAAACTCTCGATATAATCCAACGGAGAGACATCGTTTATAGCGTTTATACACAATGTCGTAATTGTCTGATTAAAATGTCATAAAAATGAGATTTTTTAAATTTTAAAATTACTCATTTATTGGCCCCCAGCATAAAGAATTTGAGCCCTATTGAAAATGCTCTCAAAGCTGTACGCGTTGACACAACCAAAATTGTTGGACTCAAACCTAAAAAACTGAGCAAGTAAAATAAGTCCAAGAATTCGCGCATGTCCCGCAAACACACGTAGCTTTAAGCTGTTTTGCGGGACCATAGCAGCAATTTCCAAGGGGGTGAGGTTTGATTTACACACACAGGGGCGGATCCAGTAGGGGACACGTGCCCCCCCCCCCACTTTTTGACACTAAATTTTTAAAATTTCAATGCATATCAGTGTTATGTGCTACTCACTTATCTATTCTGAAGCTGCTGTGCACACCCACCCACCAAACCCGTTTGAAAAATTCTGGATCCCCACCTGGTTCATACGCCACTTATTGACAAAGCTACTAAG